CCCCCCCCCCCCCCCCACACACACACACACGGTCTTCCATACTCATAGGGACTTTGCATTGACTTCCATACATTTAAGAGTCATTTCTGTAGCCTAAACCTAACCACCCCAGTACATACCTGACCCTAAACCTCTCTTAAAGGGGCAGTATTGTGTAAAATCAACTCTGAGCTTGATCTTATGTTGCAATGTCAGACTCATCAAAAACATACCCAGAGTATTGCTTTGACTTGTTCATGCAGGTTTGTGAAATTCTGTAATGCCCTGAGACAGCCATGCAGGAGAGAAAAGACAGCTGGCTGGGCCTTGAACTGCCCGTTAGGTGCAGCTCCTCCTCTGGGCTGTGTCTCCATACCAAGTTTCCTCATCAAAGAGCACGCCACCCCTGCGACTCCTGCAGGCTATCAGCAGGAACAAACTAGAAAACTAGCAGTCATTTTTGGATTTAAAAAATGTCTTTGAAGAAATGTATTTTTTGATGCCAAGGAGTATCCTTCCCATGGATAACACTTAACGGTTTGACTTCATTTTGGAAGTCTACCAATGAAAAAAATATATATTTGTCAGCCACTTTACGGATAATAGCTTTCTGAGCAAAAGGATAATAAAATAATTGCTGATGTAATATTTTTCCTATAATTATTACAAAAACACAAAATAAGTATAAATAAGTATTTATATTTGTGTATAAGCTGTTTAGATTGTCAAAAAGCCTGTGTTTTTAGGGTTATTAGCGAAGTTCATGTACTCAGACCAGTAATATTTGGGGTCACAAGTTTTTGCCATGGATATTTTGTGGGTCAGCAGACAAAAAGTTTGGGAACCACTGCAGTAGATGATGAATTTACATGAATTGATATGATTATGTACACCTGTACGGTACAATAATTCTGCTGCTGCAGATATTTCAAACATGAGTGGGAAACTATAAAAAGCACCCACTCTCACAAAGTTTAAATTTAAACATCGCTGAGGTTCAGGTCAGTTTGGGTTGAACTCACAAAGTCAACTGAGAGGGACTGAGGAGACTTCTGGGATTTTAATTATTTGGAAGAAAAACAAAATGTTTGTTTCTTGACAAAAAAATGTTATCAATCAGTTTAATCCATTGTAAGGCTGCTTGATATCATTACATGGTGAAATAAAGGCCTTGTCAATCAGCTTTACTCTTAGATGAACAGACTTTTTAGCAACGCAGATGTCAAGATTTAAGCCCAAAAGAAAAACAGAAATCCCAGTTTGAAATATAAACTAAAAATTAAGACACATAAAGACAACAAAAAATACAAACTGCATCAACTGAAGAGACATAAAGGAGTAAAAAAATATGACCCATTTGGAGGGCCATAACTACAAAAAAAAAAAAAACTTTAATAATGAAACAAGATTGAAGCATTGGTACAAAATAATAGTACACCATGACAACCAAGACACACTGAATGAGTTTAATTATAAACAATCAAACAAGCCACAAAATTACCATAAAATGCTTCTAAATGAGAGAAATATTAGTTGTGAGATCTGAGAGCAGCATGAAGGTCTGTTGCTGAAAGCTGGTGAAGAAGCTGAAAACCTTTAATAGCAAAACTGTTAACGTGTGTTAAACAGCAGATTTTAATGAAAGTAGGAAAATAATTATAAAAATGCAATTATATAAATGCTGACTCAATTATTTGGAAGAATGATAAAAGTTAATTTGTTGGAAAGATATGAAACTATTATATGTATTTACACAAGCTGATGTTTGAGTGGTGGAAGTTTTTTGTTATGCTGATGAGGGTGTGAAATTATTATATTTGTATGTGTTTATGTGTATATGTGTGCATGTATATTTTTTGTTAAATAGGGGCAGATATAGGATTTTTTTTCTTCTGCTTCCTTTCATTTTATGTTTTTTTTTTGTTGTATTGAAACTTGTTTTGTTTTTAACCAAAATGAATAAACTATTAAACATTAAAACAAAAGTAGAAAAACAGCAAACAAGTGTCCAACAAGCTGAAACAAACAGAAATCAAAAAGTTGCAATGTGTTGTAAAATAGCTAAAACAGCCAAAGTTTGCAGAAAACAGCTAAAATGCAGCTGAAATTAGCAAAAAAAAAAAAAAAAAAGGGGGGCAGGAGCAAATGTCTACTGAATTACACAGAAAGAAACCTAAGTGGCCAGCAAAATGTGAATTTATCTTGAAAACAACACATTTAGCAAATCAATTAAAAAAAATAAGTTAAACATTAGCCAAAACCCCTTGAATTAGCAAAAGGAAGCTGAAATAAGTACAAATTAGCACAAGAATTGCAGAAATGAGGTAAAATGATCAAAAAAATTAAAAGAGAAAAGTAGCAGACACGAGTTGAAATGAGCACAAAGACGGTGAAAGGTGTGCAAGAAATTTCATATTAGCAGATAATAAAGTCAAGAAACAGAAATCCCAGCAATTCGATGTAAAATAACTAAAATTATCCTAGAAGAGCTGAAATGTTGCAGAAAAGGCACAAATTTGCTGAATTAAGCTGATATGGCAAAAACTAAAGATTATACTTTCAAGTGTTAAAAATGAGTTAAAAATACACCCAGAACCCACAGAGTGGCGACAGATCCAGGGTCCATCCCCCCGGTGACATTCTCCAGCTCCTCCGGGGGGACCCCAAGGTGTTCCTCAGAGAGGAAGAAGTTTTAGGTCTTCACAGTAATCTGCAGACGTCCTGACCCTCTGCAGCCGACTCCCTCCACACTCAGGAGCAGGGACTGAGCCGAGGCCTCCATCCTGCCGTCACTCGTCTACAGGACTCCCAGAAAACTGTACTCTTCTCTTTCAGGCACAGACTCTTCCTTCAACCTGGAGGCAGTGTTCCCACCTGGTTCAGGTTGAACACCCTGACCTCACACAGGAGCTGATCATCATCTCTGTAAACTGTCCCGGTGAGGAGCTGAGAAAGCTTTTTTTGGATCAAACTGGGGCTACAGAAACGTGAGAAGAAACCCAGACCCAAAGTGGTCAGATTTTTACCACTGAAAAATGAATCTGCTGTAATGAACACAACCCAGGACATGAAGGGTTATGGATTGTGACAGAACTGAAGGCAGCGACAGAGAGGTAACAAGACAGGAGTCTGATGTAAATTCACTGATCTCACAGTGATCCTGGTCACTTCCTTTCCTTACTCATCTTTTCTCCTTCAGTGGTACAAAATCTCACTGTGACGCCTGCAAAACAAACCTGGGCCCTGATGGGATTTATCTCATCAAGTGATTTGTCTCAGTCTGTTTAACGATTTGTGTACTTCTGTAATACATTTTCCACTTTTCACTTCAACATACAAAGTCTATGCTAAAATTGTATGTTCCTGTCATTGCCTTATCGTAGGCATGGCTAACACAAAACACTGAACATTATTTATTATTAATGATATTTTAACGTTTTATTAGTCATATTAACTTGTTTTATTGTAATGCTTTTATGGTTTATTGCTTGTAAGCACTTTGTGATGTTTATCTGTGAAAGGTGCTATACAAATAAAAATGTACTTTAACATAAATTCTCTGTAAGCTAAAGGTCATGGTTTGAAGGTTTGTCTACATAAAGAAGCATTTTTACTGTGTAATAAGTTTGATGAGTTTCTGTGTGAAAATCAGAGGAAGGATTTAGAGTGGAGTCATGTTTAATCTCATGAATTATTGTATTGTTTTTCATTTAAGAACATTTTAATCCATATGTGAATATTTTTAAAAAGCTGCCAGACATAATGCTTTAGTTTCCTCATCTTTTTACATTTATTTAAACTTTGCTTCTTTTTTTATATCATCTTATTGCAGCACAAACTTAATAAGACTGTAAACAAAAGTGTTGTAAATGTGAGACAGCCCAGCAGTGTTCCAGAAGGACGAGGCGAAGGACGAGGTGAAGGACGAGGTGGAGGACGAGGTGGAGGACGAGGTGGAGGACGAGGTGGAGGGCGAGGTGGAGGACGGACGCGGTGCGAGGAGCGACGGTGAGACCCTGGTGTTGGGAAGTAGCCGGTCCGTGGACTGTGGCGGCCTGATTCACAACACCAGCTGTCCCACCCCACCGAGTCTGCAGATGGCGCTCTGATGGTGGAAGAGTTTTTCTCCTGGTTTTTTTTTTCTGGTTTCCACAGGGAAGCAGGCGAGTGGTTCCACCTCACTGCTTCATCTCCAGGGGGTTCGGAGTCAGCTCTGCCTCCTCCATCTCTCTCCTCCATCTGTGGCTGCTGCGAAGAAAAAACACACAAAAACAAAAAAACATGCAAATGAAGAACCTGAAAAGCCCACTCCATGTGAAGGAACTTCATTGACATTACAGACATGAGAGATTCTGGGACTTCAGGCCCCACCTCTCTTACACCTGCCAGGCATTAGACCACCCACAACCCCCTTGCTTCAGCTCCAGAACGGCTGCTCTTTATGGTTCAAAATTTTAAAAGACAGCCTTTATGCTAATTTTATAATCACACCGGGGCACTGAGGAACATGTGTGGATGTACAGTGAAGAGGGATATAAGCTTTTACTTAGCATATGAAATGAGTTGGGATTAAAACAAGATAAAGAGCACAGTGAAGAGCGGAGGGAGCGGCACGAGAGCGGTCACTCACAATTCGCCTCCCGTGAAGCTCTTTAAATCTTCCTGACTGCTCTCAGGCACCGGAACGGGCCCAGCCGAGTGTTGAAAAAAAGAGCAGGGGCCGTTTTTACCAATTATTGCTCACTTCAGGTTGAAGCGTAGAGGATCGGCACGATTAATAAAGGCATTTATGGAGGAGGGAGAATCACCCATCACAGTAATGAGCCCATCAGTGGGGCGGGCTCCTAGAAAGTGTTCAACGTTTTCATTTTGGGCTTTTTTAGCGGATAAAAAGGCTGGAGCGATCATAAAGTGTCACAAACTTCATCTCAATCTAAAGAAACGGTTGGAGGTTTTATTAAAAAAAAGATTAATAGTTATAAATGTCAACATTTGTTGATGCCGTTTATATCGGTGGGGATGTTGAACTAAAGTAAAGTTTTAAAATGATCCATCAGCTGGTCAGGCAGGGTTAAATAATATCAAAGCTGCAGGTTTTCAGGTTTATTTGTTGGATTCTTAACAAGAAGGTTGCAGGATCGAATCCCCGGGACGTGTTCTCCTCGTAAACGAGTGGGTACTTTTCAGGTAGAGACCAAAAAACCGTGAGTTAAATTAAATGGTTGCTCTAAGTTATCGCTATAGGAGAGAGTGAATGATTGTTTGTCTTCACGTGTAAGAAAATATTGATGCAATGAAATATTGCGATATTTCATTGTCAGAAACTGTATCGATTTATACGTATACTTATACATAATTAATCAGATTTATGCATGTTTAAAGCATGATGTGCTCTTTATGCTGAGTTTTTTCAAAATATAATCTTTCAGAGAAAAAAGGCAATATCGTCTTGGTTACAGTATTGCAATATATCACGATATATCGTCACTCCTGTACTGTGATATATATCATATCACCAAATTCCCACCAATACACAACCCTGTGGTGACCTGTCCCATTCCCCATCTCTCACTGTGCTGGACATGATAAAGGTAAAGATAACTGATGAATTGTTTCTTATCAAAAGGAGTTTCATTTAAAAAAGAAGAAAGAAAGCAGACGTATTTACTAAACCAAGTTTTGTTAACAGGTTCCACTCAGCTGAGTTGAGTAAATGTAAAACAATGTTCACATTTATTTTAGAAGAAAATGTGAACATTGAGCTGCACTGAGTTGAACCAGTTGTCGTAACTTGGTTAGGTAGAAACCAACCTGCCTACCCTCCCTCCTGAGGGTTGTCAACGTCTTTGTTGGTCTACATCAGATGGAGAGGTTAAATGACCAACCAGTCGAATCCCACCTGAGAAAAGGTTTTGGACAAAGACCCTGACACCCATAGGAGGGAGAGTGATTTGAACGTGAGTTAGAGCAGCTTAAAAACTGAAGCTTGTTGAATGAGAAGCGAAAGGTAGTCGATTAAAAAAAACAAGTAAAGACGTCCAGTTCTGCAGACGCACTCTTTGAAAATCCCGCCAATCCAGATCAAAATAAATGTTTCTAAAAATAAATATTAAATATGTTTAAAACAAATGTATGAACAGATTTTTTGAGGCCTAAATCTTCCATTTATTTTACTTTTATTTATTTATCCCAGAGGTTCTCAAACTGGGGTCTGCGAGAGGTGTCTTGGGGGGTCCTCAGAAAATTTCACTAAATTGTTAATTTGGTTTTTATTTTTCAAAATGCATGGAGAACAATGAACTAATAAAACAAACATAATAAACTTAATAAATATATATATATTCCCATGGCATTTAGGGATTGAAATGACAATATATTCACTAAATTGTTAATTTGGTTTTTATTTTTCAAAATGCATGGAGAACAATGAACTAATAAAGCAAACATAATAAACTAAATAAATATATATATATTCCCATGGCATTTAGGGTTGAAACGAAAAATAAATCATCTTTTAAAACAGCCTGGGGTTTATGAGGGGGTCCCTGGAATTTTTTTCGTCATTGTAAGGGGTCCCCAGACCCAAAAGGTTTGAGAACCCCTGGTTTAAAGTGTGCTAACCTGGTTACACCTGTTTGTCTTGTATCGTAGTGTCTTATATTTAACAGTTTTGTAATATGAATGAATGAATGAATGAATGAATGAATAGGTTCAGCTTCATCCTGACCTCTAGCAGTGCTCTCTGCACAGTGAGCTGACTGTACACTNATATATATATATTCCCATGGCATTTAGGGATTGAAATGACAATATATTATCTTTTAAAACAGCATGGGCTTTATGAGGGGGTCCCTGGAATTTTTTTTCGCCCTTGTAAGGGGTCCCCAGACCGAAATGGCTTGAGAACCCCAACCTTTTGTATTAGGACGTAACAAATAATTGTCTTTAAAGTTTGACGTTTTGAAAATCAAATCCTGACCTATCAGCTTAATAAAAGTAATAATCCAGAGGGTGACAGGTTTATTTATGAAGTGGTATCAGATGTGATACGAGGCATAGGAATGTGAGTGTGCACGAAAACCATCGTTTTATTTTGACACAAGAAGCAATGGAGGAGCTGACAGGTTCTACTCTACTGGAGAAGAATTTCCACTTTTTTTCTTAACGCATCAATTTTATGTTTGTGCAACAATCTTTATTTTATGCAAACGGCTTCAGCAGGGTGTTCTCACTGCAACAATATGACAATGAGACAAAAGATTAGCTTCGTTTCCCCCAATTTTGTTAATTAAAGAAGAAAAAAAGAGCCTCCATTAAACTTGATTTCTTTGATTGGCAACGAGGGAGGGAGGGTTCCTGTCAACGACACGCACGCACCAGAAGATTTTCAAAAGGCAGGAGAACAAAACGAAAGTAAAAAATATAAATAAATAACAACATTCAGGCGTTTTGTAAGAAGAAAGAAGATAAGCCTCGAAATTGGTTTTGAATTCACACGAATGTCTTTGTCTTCGACTGGACCGGTGTGAAGCTTACAGGGAATAGGAGCAGCAGCTGAATTCCTTTAAATAGCCCTGCCTGCCTCATCATATGGTTGCTATGGCAGCCAGCCCCTCGTTTCCAGATAACGTCCACACGCTCAGAAGAGACCCCCCCCCTTCCTCCTCCACCTGAAAGCTATAGATCCAGCCGCTGCTTGGAAAGAAAGAAAAAAAAACGAGGTTTGTGGAAGAGATGCAGCCACTTAACGGCACATATATATTCCACACATGAATGCCTACTTATACAGCGCGAGAAAAAAAAAAGAAAATCAATATTTGAGCGATGCATTTATGCATGATCAATCTGTTGTCTCGCTTCTTCTCTCTCTCTTTTTTAAACACACACCAAGAATGGGTTCAGTTTTTAAAGCATAAAAAGAACAGAAAAGACGAGGAGCAGGGATTATGATGGGAAGCTGCGGACCAAAAGTGAAGCAGATGAGCGAACAGCTGGCACGAGAAACGCGGGCGACACTTGAACAAATGAAGGGTGTAAAGGAGGATGAATGGCGTGTGACTTCTGGAGAAAGAAGCGGGGGGAAATAGCTCCAGATAAGATCATAAAGAGTAGATACCACCTTTTTTTTCTTAAGCACTCTATTCCACATCTCGTCCTCTCATTCCTACCACTCCCAACCCCCCATCCTTTGTCTGCCACCCAGCTTCCCTCCTCAGCCTCTTTATCCAAGCCCCTCCACCGGTCCTAACTTCAGCGGAGGGGTCAAACGGGATGGAGCCGCAGCAGGATTACGAGCAGAACCTGCAGCTCAAGCTGACTTTGTGCACTTATAACTAGAACATGGCTGAAATGTGTGAAATGTATAATACAGGAAGTGGAGATTTAAAAAGAAAGGGCAAAGAAAAAGAGTTTTTTATTCTGTACATGAGAGATTATAAGCTTAGTTTAATGACTAAATTATGAAAAACACTGCGTCAGATTACCCTGTAAGAGAAGAACAAAAAACAAAACCTGTATGAATCAATCAAATCCTACATCACTCAACTCATCATGAAATGAACCATCATTACTAACTCAGATTATTCAATTTAAACAAGACCTTTGATGAAATATTCTGTTGAAATCAAACAAAGACCATTCATTTTAGCTGCCGTTTAAAACAAACATTCGACTGGATTTATGACGTTTTTCTAGATATAAAAAATTTCTGTTTAATTCACACGTTTTATCAGAGTCACGTCAGGTTTCAAACCGTATGCAGCTGCTTCTGTTTGGAGCATTTTTCAGAGGCGAACCGTGTGTACACAGGGTGTGTGTGTGTGTGTGTGTGTGTGTGTGTGTGTGTGTGTGTGTGTGTGTGTGTGTGTGTGTGTGTGTGTGTGTGTATG